GGAGGAGGAATATAATATAAATGATTTAGGTTTTATTGGGGATTAGGGTTGTGTCTTGATATATACCTGATATTTGATTAAACAAATTTTGCACCTGATTTTTAAAAACTAAACTTTAAACCCCTGATTTTTTATAATTTCTCTTTAATTTCCACCATGAACATTCCATATTTAAGTGGGCTTTTAATGGACTTGGATTCCCGTTTTATGGAGTTAGTGTCTGGGCTCTTAAAGCCTTTTCTTGTGGGCCTGTTAATCCCTGTTGTGTTTCCTGTGAATAAATTCAAGATAATTGAGATAATATCACGAAAGAACAATATCAAGTGTCGATTACCGTGTGGAAAATAATTCACATATTGGTAAAATACAAGTTATATAAGAAAGACAAACCCTAAGTCTAGTGTTATTGAGTTGTTTGCCATGGGAGTAGAAATTTCATATTTCTGGTCATTGTAAACTCATATTTACCGTCGATATGACATTTATGTCTTCCACATTTTATAGTACATCTTTTTTATAAATACATAAGGTAGGAGATAATATTTAAGCCCGTGTTTGGTACCGAGTAAAATTAAAATTTTAATTTAAATCAAAGTTAATAATTAATTTTAATCACATATTTTATGAGTCCAACAATTTTTCAAACCCACATTTCATCTAAAGATCTGATTTTAATCATCACCAAACAGGGGCTAAAGTCTTATAAGCATAAAAACTTCTTCCTAATGTAGGATTTTTCAAAAACAACGATCGTGTAATCAAGTTGGTCACAATAGAATATTACGAATTTTGACTAATTAGACTTCAAGGAAAATTGTAAAAAAAAATTATGTAGCACCATGTTAAGCAGTTGTAGTGTTTCGTAGTATTGCTCAAATAATTTACCTCATTCATCAAGGCTCAGGACATGACAGGTGGGGACCGTCAAGGATCGACTCATCCTTTAGTATTGCTCAAATAATAGTTTTTGGATCAATTGCCTTCAGCGCATGAACAGGACATGCATCCTCAGCTAGACAATTTAGTCAAACCAAAAGGCATATTCCAATTATATCTGAACATATGTGACTTTTAGACTGACTTCGAGATTCTAGTACTAGTTAATCTATCTAGGTAAATCAAATAATAGAATTTTATTACTATGTCAGCTCATTGCATGACTTGACAACATGGATAAGCAATCTTTTGAAAATAATGTGTAATATAATAGTAGATACATAATGATAAATTATGACAGGATCGACTCCAATTTGGGTGTTTCATATCCCCGCCTCCAAAAAAGATGGGAAAGGGGGGAAAAAAAAAAAAAAAAGACTTTTTGTAACCATGAAAAATGATTGGCCATTTTCTTTTAAGTTTTAACCATGGAGATACCCTAAATTGATATATCATCATCATCATCATCATCATCATCTATGTTTTTTAGTCATCAAACTTGAGACTTCGGCTTTATTAATATTTGGGTTTGTAGCCTTGTAGGATTTCGAAAATCACCTTTGATCACTGAAGAATGTGTTTTGAGATTTGCTTGCATGCTAGGTTTCATTTTGTTATTTACGAATTTTCAATCGAAATAGAATATAAAGGTATCTTTTCATCCATGAAGCTGTTTGTACAGCTTTTAAATGCTGTACAATATACAGCTCTCTTACATAATGTGGGTCCCGCGATCGCGGGCCCGACCCTCCACGTGAGAGAATTGTAAGGTATGCTGTACAAAAATGCTGTACTAGCAAGTTTGTCTTTTCATCGTAAATGTACAATGATGAAAATATTATTGATTCGTAAAATTCAAATTTCTAAGTAGTCAATCAGAGCTCAATTCTTATTTGGATTAGTATTTTCTTACACTATTCTTCATAGTCAAACCCTACAAAATTCGTGTAGACCTAGTCATGTTTCTAGACTGCCATTTGAGTCCGAATGCCTCGTCTCACACGCCATACCCAAGTGGTGCGTGCTTCCGTTGACCACCCACGCATCCCAGTCTCTTACAAAAAAAGCAATAAATAATTGAAAGCTGTATCAAAGTTGAGAGTTGCTTTACAGAGATGCATCCGTTAAGCTTTGTGGACTGTGGTATTTACTTATTAGGTTGGTAGGGTCCAACCAGAGTACGCCACTTTCTTCACGTGATTACCCTTAACCCCCAAGCACCCTTTTTCGTCCTTTACACGTTGCTTTTCATGAACATTATTTTAAAATTAAAAATTAAAAAAATAAAAAAAAATAAGAGTTGCACATATAATTAAAAGGGTTAAAAATAAATTTTGGAATGTAACGGCCAATTTTGATTGCGAACAAATCGATTTTCGATTCTTAAGTTATTGTAGTAAGTTCAATATTTTCAAACTCATTTTCAAGCATATTTTGTCAACTTATTTAAGTTTTTTCTACAATTAATTCTTAGGACAAGAAGTAAGTAAATATAGAACAATGTTATTTGGTAAAAATACTGTTAGGGACTTCACAACCTACTGAATTTTTTTTTTTTTTTGTGCTAATTAAATCTTTAAAAGAAAAATGAACTTTTTAATTAAAGAAAAATGTAAAATCGTCTTTTGGGGATCCAAACATTAAGAAAATGAACGGTTGCCAAAATATTTTGTAGATGACTCGCGTCGCTCATCCAAATCTTTCAATTTATTGTAGACTATATCCAAATTTTTTATTTTTGCATTCACAGTCCCAAACATTTCACCCTTACTACAGCTGAAGGACAATGGTTAAAATTCGTTCATTAAACCATTAGTCAACCCAAAGATTAATACTTTGACTCAATTGACTAATTAAGTAAAGGATAAAATGGTAAATTACTAAATTTATATATTTATAATTAAATAAAAAACTAAAATAAAAATAAATGAACTTCATCTTCTCCAAATTCATCCACCCATACCACCATCTCCAAAATAAAAAATCAGAACCCAATCACTTTCAACCACCGCCACCCATCCACACACGTTGCCCTCCCCAACCATCGTCGCCATTGCTTCGCCACTCACCGCCATCCAAACCTTTTTTTTCCCCCGTTAAGCAGCACTTTTGCCCAATATCTATAAGAAAAATGTTACTTAGTGGAAACATGATTTTGATATGGCTTGTTTAGCTATATCTACTGCGCCCTTAATTCTTCACTCCTTCCAAGAATTAGCACAATTTGGGATTTCTCTTTAATCAAATCAAAGTTCCCTATAAATTCCAATTTTGAAGAAAATTCAATACTCTTTACAAATTTCCTTTTGTTCTTGACCTCGAGAACAGTTATAGCCGTCAATTCATCATCGTTTGAAGCTAAAGTTCACATATCATACACCGAGATGTCCGAAGGACAACCAATCATATCAAGACCCTTTTATTTGTTTGATGCTATAAAAAATCTGCACCTGCTTGATCTCGAACTAAATACTTGAATACCGCACGAAATTATCTTCAATACTTGAAACATAGGTGTGGATGTTTGTTCTCATCATCCATCCGATACTTAAATTAGAGAAAGAATTTATGCAAAAGGCTATATGCTAAAAATTATATTAAAAAAAGAGTGTAACTGAATAATGAACTTTGATCATGTATTTATAGATGTTGGTGATGAAGTTCTGAAATGATCCAACCACGTGTAGTTCATATCCTTTATCATGCAAGATATTTGTGTTATATTGAAAGTATCATGTCACAATTTGAATCAAATTGTGATAGATAAGTAGCTTAGATGAGAGTAAAGTTTATGGAGAGTTAGAATCGAAGTATGATTAATGTTTTTAGAAGGTGTGAGATAAGGATAAGGATTTCGTTCTCAAGATGTACGGCCCTACCTCATGATGCCCGACCTCGATAGTAAGCCCGACTTCATTATTGGATAATTAAGGAAGGGCAATCTTGGGACCTTAAATTCAAGATCGGGGGTTAAAATATTTGTGCACATCATTGTTATTGGCAGGTTTGATTTTCTCCCCTTTTGTTTTGTTTTTTTCTTTGTATTTAAATTTAGAGATGATCTTGTCATGAACTGGGTTAAAATATTTAGAATGATCTTGTCGCGAACTGGATTTATCCTATCACAAACTGGGTTTGAATTTATAGAATGATCCCATCACACACTGGATTTTAATTTGTAAAATGATTCTGTCATGAATTGGGTTTAAATTAATAGATAATTGTTTGACCTGGGTATACTAATTCTCGTAGGAATATGTACCGAGGTACTTCTGTTGAGGTGGGCGATGCAGCCTGTGGTCGTCAGTGACTAGGTTCTGGTTTTTGATTTGGGTTTTTTTTTTTTTGGAGAAGATGCAATTCATTTTTTTATTTAATTATTTTAATCGTTTTAGTATAAAAAAAATGTAAATCTATCATTTTATCATTTACTTAATTTGTCAAGTCGAGTCAAAGTATTAATCTGACTAACGGATTAATGGATGGATTCTGTCCATTGTCTTCCGACTGCAGTCGAAGTGAAAGACTTGGGGGCGTGGGTGCAAAAATAAAAGGTTTGGGTTAGTCTGCAACAGGTTAAAAGGTTTGGGACCCCCTGCTACAATTTTCCCTTAAATAAATGAAACATGAAAGATGGCCGTTAACTTCCCCCACAAACCTTGGAACACGGAAAGCGGGCCCCACTCGTTGTTGTCCCATGTCGGATGGCACATAATCTCCATTCTGTATTCTGAAAAAAATCACATTTGAAACAAATAATTAGTCGATAATTTTTCCTTTAATTACATTTGATTTTTTGTGGCTTTTACGTGAAGCTGCTTCCTGTTTGTTCTTACAATAAACAAACATTTTCTTGTTCTCGTTTTCTCTTTCCATATACGCAACATATAATCCTATCAAAAGGAAAATAACAATTTTTTTTGATTTTCCCGGAAAAATTCCAAGAAATATTTTCAAGGTTCTTTAATAAAGACAGAATCTTTAGAGGCAAGTAATCAATTCTTTTATAATTTTCTCAATATTCTTGCTGTTCTTTGGAGAGAGAGAGAGAATCAATCTGGTTTGGTTTGGTTGCTTGTAGCCAAATAAAGGTATATTTCTTCGTCTTCATTTTCTAATCCTCTCTCTGGAATTGGGTTTTGGACGGGAAAAAGCTCTTGGAATTTTCTGGGGCCTTCTTCCTTTCTCGGTGTTTTTGCATTGATCCCATTTGACCATTTAAGGTGAAGATTTGTCTTTTTTTTCTTCCTCGGAGCTATTCTCATGTAATTTTAATGTAGATTCATGGTTTAGAGTGATATTGGCATCTGAGTTTTGGTGGGTTGTTCTGTGTATGAGCTGGGTTTTGTTTGGTGATTTTTCTCGAATTTCTCGTTTATTTATATGTTGATTGATTTGGTCCTGTAATTGGAAAGCTCAAGTTTTGGACCTGGGATTGGATTCAGTAAAAATTGTTGTTTATAAAAAGTTTATAAGTTTTTCTGTAGTTTGAAATCTTTGTTTAATATGGGGAAGAATAGTGGGAAGAACAAGATAGAGTGGGGAAGTAAATCATTTGATTCGAGACAAAGTAGAGGCAATGAGAATAGCCCAAGAGCGATGGACAAGGACACAGCAGTGTTCATTTTGCTGTCGCAGGAATTGAAGGATGAGGGGAATAGATTGTTTCAAAGCAGGGATTATGAAGGTGCCATGTTAAAATATGAGAAAGCTATTAATTTGCTTCCAAGGAACCATATCAACGTCTCCCACATTCGGAGTAATATGGCTGCGTGTTATATGCAGTTGGGCATTAGTGAATTTCCAAGGGCGATCCATGAGTGCAATTTGGCTCTTGAAGTTACACCGAAATATAGTAAAGCATTGTTGAAAAGAGCAAGATGTTATGAGGCTTTAAATAGGTTGGATTTGGCGCTCAGAGATGTTGGGATTGTTTTGAAGATGGAACCGAATAATTTAATGGCAGCTGAAATTGAAGGGAGGGTGAAAACAGCTATCGAACAAAGGGGCACGACAGAAAATGACATTCCTCTGGATACTGTTCCATTACCTGAATATTTTGAACCACCTTCGGTTTCAACACCAACCAAGGCGGTCAAAGAGAAGATGATGAAGAAAAAAAGTAAAGTGGGGAAGAAGAAAATTGAGGAGAAAACCAAGGAAAAAGAGGTTGAGAACCTAAGTAATGAAAAGAAACAGAAGGAGAAAATCGAGGCAAGGAAGACTGAGGATGAAGTCACGTTAAAGAACTCCGAAGTTCGGGTTGAAGAAAAGAAGGCTGAAGAGAAGGTGGTGGTGGAGGTAGAGAAAATAAGTAATACAATGGAGGTGGAGCCAAAAAGAACGGTGAAATTAGTATTTGGAGAAGATATAAGATGGGCTCAGATTCCTGTCAACTGCAGTATTTTGAAACTGAGGGAAATAATTTCTGATCGGTTCCCTAGCTCAAAAGCTGTTCTTGTTAAGTACAGGGATCAAGAAGGTGACTTGGTCACAATCACGACAACTGAAGAACTGAGATGGGCTGAAGCATCTGTAGAAAGTGGTTCTGTCAAGCTGTATATAGTTGAAGTTAATCCAGATCAAGATCCGTTCTTTGAAAAGGTTAAAACAGGACAAGTCGTATTCAAGCCAGACATAAAACATGATAGCATTACTGAAAATGGAAATGTAAGAAAAATGAAGCAAATCGAGAACGGGTCATTTTGTATCAATGATTGGATCATCCAGTTCGCTCAACTATTCAAGAACTATGTCGGATTTGATACTGATTCTTATATAGATCTCCATGAGCTCGGTGTGAAGCTATATTCTGAAGCTATGGAAGAGACGGTCACTAGTGATGAGGCACAAGACCTTTTTGCGACAGCTGCAGAGAAGTTCCAGGAGATGGCGGCCTTGGCTCTGTTCAATTGGGGAAATGTTCACATGTCCCGGGCAAGGAAGAGGGTATATTTTGTAGAAGATTCTTCCAGGGAATCTATACTTGCACAGGTCAAATCTGCATATGATTGGGCTCAAAAGGAATATATGGAAGCAGGAAAAATATATGATGAAGCGCTGAAAATTAAACCAGATTTCTATGACGCTATTCTAGCTCTCGCGCAGCAACAGTTTGAGCAGGCAAAACTCTCTTGGTATTATGCTACTGCTACTAATGTTGATCTGGAATCATGGCCTGCAACAGAAGAAGTTCTTCAGCTTTACAATAATGCTGAGGAAAATATTGAAAAAGGTATGGAGATGTGGGAGGAAGCTGAGGAGCAGCGTCAAAATGAACTCTCCCACCCAAATAAAATTTCAGCTTTGTTGCAGAAAATGAATATGAGTAACATGTTTAAAGATATATCTCCAGAGGAAGCTGAAGAACAGGCTGAAAATATTACATCTCAAATATATGTTTTATGGGGTACCATGCTGTATGAAAGATCTATTATGGAATATAAAATAGGCATTCCTGTATGGCACGAATGTTTGGAGGTTGCTATTGAAAAATTTGAACAAGCAGGAGCTTCTTCAACGGATGTTGCTGTTATGATAAAGAACCATTGTTCCAATGGTACTGCACTGGAAGGTAATATACGAATATAATATCTAAATTTGTTTGATATTTCATATTAGTACATAAACTATTAGGGCAAGTTTAGTACAGTACTAGGCACGACAATGTACAAATTTTGACTTCATTCTCTTTTCACACTACCGAGTCATGTATTCTCCACCTCGCCAAACAAGCCATTAGAGCATTGATGTATGTTTGACCTCATGATATGATTGTAGGCTTAGGGTTCAATATCAATGAGATAGTACAGGCATGGAATGAGATGTATGAAGCAAAGAAGTGGCAGAACAGCATTCCGGCTTTCAGGTTAGAGCCACTACTTCGGAGACGAGCTTCGAAAATCTATTATGCCCTGGAACATGCATAAGTGCTGACGTTGTTCATTTCATGGAGGGGAAAAACACAGTGGAACAGCATCGGCCAGGGTCTGTGCTTACGGCATACTTGGTAACTACTAGCTTGCCATACTGGTAGCAATTATCTTGCAATATGCACTTCATCTTTCTTGTTTTAGTGCTAAAAGTAGAAGATATCTCCAAGTATATTATGCTTTGATGGAAATAGAATAATGAGGCACTTATCAAAGTTTGAAGTGAGTTGAATGAATGAATGTGGTAAAATGCTTTGCGCAGGAAAAAGGATAAATCGAATTCATGGTATCAATTTAAAGAAAAATACTAAAATTTAGTGTAGAATTGAGCTTTAACACTTGTTCCCAGAAACCCAATTCATGAAGCTATGATTGTAGCACTTATAACACGATGAAAATAGCGAGTACAAGTGTAAATTTATATCAAGCATTGACTTTACCAGTTTATTATAGATGGTTTGAATCAATGTCAAGCATTTAAGAAAGTGTTTCTTGTGTGCCAGGTATAATATCGTAGATTAGTATGGTAATTATGGTAAATTAGAGGCCTAGAATGAAATAGCTGAAATAGGTATTGAGAAAATGAGTGAACCTGGATACAAAGCACCTTCAATCATAGAAAGGTAGGACTCATTTATCTCAAGGAAAGCTCTGGGCCTTTTGACTGATGTAAAGATATGAAGTTACAACAAATACATAGTGGAACTCCATGGCATTTGGTGCTGTCAGTTGTTTGACTTCAAAACATCAGTCAATGTCAGGATATATGAGCTTAATCAAGAAATATAGGAAAAATGAATCAAATTATTGAAATACTAAACGCATGTCCTCATGGAAAGAAAAGTGATGTGAACATTTGCTAATTATATTGCTAGGCAAGGTCAATAAGAGGGATAGAGACACCATAGAATATATATGATAGTGAGTGAGATTACGATCTATAAGGACACAGTTTCATATGAACGAGGATAGAGGATTCGTGCTGCAGGTACAGGATGGTTTGGAATAAGAATTCAATGTAACATTCTTGTTTTCAACCCCAAAATCTCCTGATAAGACAATTGATTATAGGAAAAGTATGCAAATCCAAGGCTAACAATAGCTACTTTTAAGCAAACATGGCAAATATTGTTTCTGTGGAAGTGGGAATCCTCTGATAACTGTCTTGATTGTAAAATTCTTCCTTAATGACAACTATTGCCTCTCCCTCTCTCTGTGTGCATGTGTGCATGTATATGGTGAATATGCAGTGTCTTCTGTACATTAGAGTTCCTAAATTTACTTCATTAACAAGTGATGCACATTTTTGCAAGCAATTTGTTTTCCTAGGGTTTGATTCTGTCGCGAAAACTAGTAACTAACATCAGAATCAAAGCTCTCAAGTGGAGCAAAAAGTAAATAAAATTCGAATGCAATATCCAATTTTACAGCTTTTGGTGATGCATTCTTTCAACAATGAACGCCAAGGTGTCTTTAGTGGTGGAAAAATTAATTAGTAACTGCTCGTCATAGGTTAGCCACGGGATTATAGAAACATTATACTGCCATGATAATATTTCGTTGCTTTATTGGAATTGTGACTAGTAGACAAATGAACCAAGGAACATTTGAGGCTTCACAGATTTGTTGCTTCGATTAGAAAGAAAATTCTGAGGACTCACTTGGTTTCTGATAAGTTAATGCAGACATGAAAATCTGAGGTTTTATCATTTTGTTTTATGTTTGGAGAAGCACGCACACGTGTTTCAGATTATACGTTTGATTAACTAAGTGACTGCATGTCCTGCTTGTATATGCATTGCGCTAATAACATGTTTGGTACGTAGCAAGGATTGTATAGCACTGGACAGTATCAAGAAAGTAGGAAAAAAAAAGTTGAAGTCTTGTTTATCATACTATCCAATCATATCCAGAAGAACACCACACACATGCCATAACAGCATAATGTAACACCTTTCTATTGCACCTATTCAGCTGTACTATTATATTACAACAAAAATATAAATTTTGATATTTAGAAGTTTCATACGGGAAAATGAGGCAGTAATTAATAATAAACGGCATTTCCATTTCTTAATATCTTTTATGTTCTAATTATAACACCGATCTCACTTTTTTTTGCCATTACTGAATAAATTAAGATGATGGTATATCCCCTGTCTGCAGGTAATTATAGGAGCTTTGTTACACTGGTTTGGCAGCTTTTTATGAAACTATGGCACGACCACAATCCGCAACTAGTTTTCCAGTTTTCGGAGACAAGATGACATAGCAGAAATCATTTTTGCATGTTTCTGCTTAATTCTCATCGCCATCCGGTCATATTAATCTATGAAAGCATGCTGTCTTACTATTTTCTTTGTATTTTTTTTATTTTGTTTTCGGTCGAGGAATTTTCCATTGACAGTGTTTTGTCTGTCAGTTCATTGATTTATATTCTTTATTTGGTTTTGAATGTCAGCATTGTCTTTGTTGTTATCTAAAGGTCTCATCAGTTATTTTTTGATAAAAAAACTTGTATTGAATTGACTAATATTTAGACGTTTTAAATTGTAACGGTGCTTATTTCCTTTTTGCAACAAGTTGAGAATCTGATGATTCGACAATGAGTATGATCAATCACGGGATTACACAGATTTAAAATAGGAACTATAAGATTTTCAAGCAATAACCAAGAATTTTTTTTTATCTCAGTAGGAACGAATCGGAGTTCAGATTGGACAGCAAGTTTTTTTTCACTTTTTTCTTTTCTTAATACTATCATGTACTATACGATCATCTCTGCTTGACAAGCCACCAATGAATTACAAATGCTAAACGTAGTGTACTAAGAGGAAAATATCATTTTTTCCATTGAATCCATAATCACATTTTCCCTAGACCATCCCCAACGTAATATCTACCCATAATTTTTTGCTCCATTAGTTCAGACTGTTTGGTGGGAATCAAATTTATTAGTAGATTTTGATAAAAAATGATAAAATATATAATTTCAAAAATGAATTTTATAAAATACTAATCGTTGACACATGCGATGCACGAATTTTGTATTTGTTGTGTTTTTTACTAGTGTAGAAATTGTAGATATTAAAAAAAGAAAAAGTAGTTTAAGATTTATTAAATTATTCAAGAGAATTGTGAGCATATTATTGCTTCGCTATTGCTCCATATAATAAGGTGATTATTTCAAAAGCTGATATTTGTGTACAGAGAAACTCATCAAAAATAAAATTGAAAACGTCACTTGTATGGAGATGATAATAGAAACGTTTGACATACATAAAGATTGCAGGTTTACAAGAATAAGAAATATTTGATTAAATCTATTTCAAGTTTTATTGTTAAAGTTTTACCGGGACCATCGGAATACCGCATTGTTGAGCAAACTTCGAATTTATAAGAAAACTATTAGTTTGGAGATAATATATATTTTTATAATTTATTTATTTATTTATTGTTGTTATGCAAATGATTTGCCACTTCGAAACGAGGATCAACCTGCCCAGTCAAGTCGTGGGAGTCGAGGGGTCAACGCCTCCGACGAATTTTCATGTATGTGCTGAAGAGATATAATTAATTTATAAGCAAATCTAACTTAAATTTCAATATATCCTACTATTATAAATACAAACAGTACATAACAAATTATTAATAAGTGAAATTGCATTTAGTTTATGTAAAATGTAAGTAAATGGTATCGCCTAAATTTAATAACAAGAAAGAGTAGAGTCAATTAAAAAAAAAATGAAGACATGTTAGAGTTCAGAGAAACTTTTTTTCTTAAATTAATTATAAGAGTGCTAACAATTAAGATCTTTTAGTTCATCATGTTAGCAACTCTGATCTCACATGTGAACAGTCATTTTCTTTTAGTTATATTGTAGTGATTCTTTTATCTCTGGCTCTTCTTTTATTATCCTTAGTAGCATCCTTCGTTGGTGAAAAAGCATGATCAACTTCACCTCTTATAGTGACAGTTTGTGTTTCAATGCCATTTTTTCTTTTCCTTTCAGAAGTATGTTTCACAATCCTTTTTTGCGTCTCTACATGTTGATTTGCTGCTTCAACCTTTTCAACATTCCTCGACAGACTTGATTTGTTTGCAGAATTATCTGAAGCTGGTCTATTTTCTGAAGCAAACTTAAACATGGAACTATACGGCCTTGTTCATGATATAATCAATTTTCCCTGTTTTTCAATTTCGACAAGAGATGCCGAGGTCTAATTCGTATGTAATGTTCTTGAATTACCCAAAATTCATAAAGAAAGTTTAGCCTTAGTCAAAGAAACATTCTTCCGTTTAACATCAACAACAAATCCAAGATTGCTAGAGTTAATTAGAATTGCTTCAGATCAAGCTGCTTTAACTGTTGAAAGCAGCATGATATCAACTTCCCGGCCTTGAAAGCCATCAATTGTATTAAATTCCATTTCCGCAGTAATAGCAGATCCGAATGCATCAGAAAAGTAGATTGGAGAAAAAAAAAATGTGATATAAAATTGGAGGACTTGAGGTGTGAAGATCTGGGAAATGAACAGTAATATCTTATTGAATTACTGTTGCATTTACAGTAACTCAAAATTATTATTTTTATTATAGTAGGATATACTTAAAATTAATTATTAATTTTGATTTAAATTATAATAAGAAGACGCATATCTTATCAATTTTGCCTAAAGCCTCCCTACTACTTGACCCGCAACGCGGAACAGCCTATTCAACAGTACACGTGAACACACGTTACAGACCATTGACCGTAAAATGATGAAAAGTACTCATAAGGGGCATATACGAGTAAGCATTGTCACGGCCAATCAGGATGCAGATATCACGTGATCTCTATCTTCTAGCTTGCCACTTGTCTACTTTGTTCGTCGCTCTCTGTGAAGCGCGTGAAATTAACAAAATTATATCTGTCACTGGATCCTAAGCAGTAAGCACCCCAGATGCCAAAAGTTTTACACCTATTACATTTTAGTCCCTTTAAAAAGTAGAAATTCTATTTCACACCCACAAAACCCTAGAGTCTTACCGCAGTTTCCTTCTCAGCACTCTTTTGGACACACACTAGACGGCTAAACCAACCCTAAGCCCTTTTAGTTTCTCTCTGTTAAGTCCATTGTTTTGTTTCTTATAATTTTTGCTCTCCTTGTCGTGTTTTTAGGCAATTTTGTGTTTGGGAATAATGGAGGTGGGTAAACTTCGCTGTTGTGCTCTGAGGAAGCAGCTAATGGCGTGTTCATTTGTGGAAGTTGCAGTTGTACACGCCCTTTTGGCTGCTCAAAAGTCTCTTGCTTGCCTTCTTATGCTGGTATATAATTTCTTGAAACTTGAAATTCTTTTGTTTTTTGAGATTTTTTATTGCAAAGACTTGATTTTTATGATGTGGGTTTTTTTCAATTTTGCTCTAGTTTTGACTTTTGAGCAACTGGAGTCCTGTTTAGGTTGTTTTTCTGGTTTGCTAAGAATTTTGCTTCTTGGCTTTCTATTTTAACTTCCTCTGTGAGTTTATTTGTCACACAGGGAAAAAGTATAAGATTTTCAAAAGTTCGGTTTAGGATTTTCCTTTTTCATTCTTTTTGACGGGGTTTTTTAGTATTGTTAGTTTATGTATTGAAGATTTGATATAAGAATGAATTTTCAGAGTCTTGAGTATGTTCTGCTAACTCTTTTATTGTTTAAACTAAAGCTTTAACCGTGCTGGAGAAAAGAAAGTGAAAGTAAATAAAAACTGAAACACTGAAATTAAAGATTCAATCTTTTCATATAGTAATTATTTATCCGCTAGTATACTGTTTTATACATAATTGGTTTCATAATCTAAGGTGATTGCATTGTTGTAGGATTAAACGACAGAAGTATTTGCTGCTGTTGTAAATTTTCAATTTCATATCATTGTGCTGTTTTTTTGCGTAAATGGACTTTCTCCAGGAACTATATTTTGTGTTGTGAACTGGCGACTGGTAAAGTTGAAGTTTGAAAACCTCAGAAAACGAAAAAGAAAAAAGTAAAAAGAAAAAAAAAGAAAATAATTGATTAATAGGAGATGCTGAACTAGAAAACATAGAAATTAGAAGTTTGAGGAGGGTCCGATATTCATTCCTTACTTAAATACGAAGGTGGCAGTCATCCCACAATAGGCTGGCAGTATCAATCTAGCGGCGTGGTCCAGAACAAGCCTTTGCTGATCCATAGGGTTTTTCGCAAGCATCAACCTCTAGGCCCGGGCGGCGGGTGAACGTCAGTAGGGTCCGATATTCATTCCTTACTTAAATAGGTAGGTGGCAGTCATCCCTCAATAGGCTGGCAGTATCAATCTAGCTGGCTCATGAATGGATGTAGCATGTAGTTCCAATAGATATGGGGTTTTATAAGCAAATGGTAAATATAGTAAAATTGGGAAGCCATTTTATTTTTTTTGCAATTTTAGTGTGGTTTTATGTGAAGACAATCCAAGTACTCGGTGCAATAACATTAAAAATATGTTTTGCCAATTTTTTTATCTTTGGCACCTTTTGTTTTGACCCAACAGCCTACTTTTTTCCATTCCAATCTTCTCTTGTGGAAGAGTAGAAGTGACGGATTTGTATTGCTAATCTTAGAAAAAGACATGTCAATATGGTGGATTGCGTCAGTTTTTACTCTAAAAAAACTTTTTTTTCCTTTTAGTACCATCATTTTGATACATTATAGAGAATCACTTTTCTTGTCCCATGGCTTGCCCTTGCAGTTGATATCAGGACTTTCTGTTTCTTGTCTTCTTTTCTGAATATGAACGTGTCCCTATTTTATTGTTATTAGTCATTAGATGATGTATCACTTGAACTTCAGCAACTCAGCGTGCTCTGAATTTGTGAAACCTAACTTCTGCTTTACTTAAAGGAAGCTTAGATTTATTTCCAACTCTTAAGTTTAGTGCCCCTTAGTCGCATCATTTGCTGGTCAAATAGTATACGGCAATGAGAATTTCTGTTTACACTACAATTGCTGCATCTAGTTCTTTGATTTTAGCCTTCATTTAGAAAATTTATATATGGTTTATAAAGAGGAATATTATCGGGTCCTATGAAACTCGTGGATAATAAGGATTAGTATTTATGAATGTGTAATTGAAATTGATGTTTGACTTTGACAAAACTTATAAGTCATTTACAAATTTGTTTGCCATACGGAGGCTTTGCTCCATGTTTTGTATTCATTGTCATGTCAATCTGGTTCCATGGGACTTAATGCTTACACTGTTAAAGAAATATTTATAATTGATTTATTGAGCACATGTAATGCTGCTTAAATTCCAATAACAGTGCAAACTATGTTCACAGACAGGAACTCTGTTGAATGATATTGATGGGCTCCCGAACTTGGTTGAAAAAAGGTAATTACAATTTCTGTACAGGCCCCAAATTTATTTGAAAAATTGCTTAGTTTGTTGTTGTATAGCTTGAACAAGGTACTAACCAGCTAAGTCTTGTATCTAATAAAATTTGGGGTGAGTTGCATGAATTATTTTCTCCACTTCTTTTGATTCAGCTCTATATTTTACTCACGTTGCTTTTGTGAACGCGATTTTCTTTAAATCTTCACAAGACATGCGCTAGTTGAGTCATCCTTCTCTTGATGCATTCTCAATTTATGTCACCTTCACCTGTTCATGTGTATTCTCCTTTGTTACTTATCCCTTTCAGAATTGCCGGTACTTCCCTCTGAGTGCCATCATTTTAGTTGCATTATCTTATGGACAATTTAATCATTAACGGGCCCAATACAATAAGTACATATAGATTAGAAATCGGTTCAAGAACTTTTACTTTGATTTTGTAACTATCTCCAATCATATACAACCCCCATACAACCCCTTTAGCACTTTGACTTAGTTCAATTTGCTCTAATTCTATGCATTAAACTGTATTCATGTACTGCTTATCTGTAAGCCACAACTTTGGATGGAACAAAATGAATAAAAATTGATTCATCTTGCTGAATCAAAAAATATTGAGAATAAGACTTGGGTAGTTCTGTTATTGCATGGTGTATATGAGGAAATTGTGGAATAAGTGAATGACAAACTTCTACAGGTTTCCCATCGACAAGCTTCATAGATTGGAAAAGCTTGGACCTGAGAACAGCGATGCTGGTGATCCAGTGGACAATGATGAAGATGATGACGACGATGATCAGGATGATGAAGATGATGCTGGTGATGAAGACTTTTCAGGTGGTGAAGAAGGGGGAGACGATGATGAAGAAGCGGATCCCGAGGATGATCCTGAGGCTAATGGTAATGAAGGCAGTGATAATGAGGATGATGACGACGACGATGGGGATGATGATGAGGATGGTGAGGATGAGGAGGAAGAAGAAGAGGATGAAGAGGAAGAGGATCAACCACCAGCTAAGAAGAGGAAGTGAAGTAGTTTGTAGACGTTAATTCTACGCCTTTCTCTTGGTTGGGAGCATGTACAAGTATGAGGGATGTTTAGCTTGTTTGTCTTCATAGAGTAGGAAATTGGCAGCGCTGTTTAGAATGAACTTGTTATCTTTATGTGACTCATGTTTTACGTTCCCTTTTGTGGATCTTTATCAGTTGTACTATTTTTATGTGATTTTTGCATTTAAATAAGACGTCCTCTTTATGAGCTAACATTTCATTGCACAGAAGACTGACCAACCACCTCAGCTAACATGTTCACGAAATCTATTGTCAGAGGCTCCTCTCAGGTTACCATAGATTGTTACTGAGATTGTCATCGTATTTTTCGTTCTTTTCGAATGTGTTTTGCCTTGTTTTCAAAATTTTGGCGTTACAACCTAAGATAAACAGCAATATTTCAGTTTTCCTAGCCTAACCTTTTTGTATCCTTTAATATTCCAAAAAAATTCATTGGAAAATCGAAGATTATTCCTGGTACAAGTTCAACACATTTTGTTTGTTCTCTAAAATATCATTTTGGTTGGAAAACTAACAAAACGAGTAGATGTGTCTGTTAGACAAAATTGTACAAGAAGAAACGGCTGATCCGTTGAACTAAATAAGATTAAACACGGGATTGGACAAATTTATCAGTTATCTGGTCGAATCTTCCAGTCCAGTCTCTCATTAGCGAAAACCATCTAACTTGAGCCCTATTTTAGTAGTGGAGTCTTTTTTTCCAGAATTTCTTTTCCATTTCATTCTGTAACAGTATGCCTCTTAGAAATTCCATTAGATTGTTCAAGCGTAGTGAAAAATACTACAAGAGTATGACAAAAGGAGAACCTAATTATTCCAAGAAATATCACATGGTGATCAACCGCAAGCTACAGATTCCATCCCATCATTGAAAATCCACAAGAAATAAATCAGTAAAAGCAAATCAGACAACGAGATCTTCGTAAAAACTGCACTTATCAACTATGATAACAAATTGGAAAAGTTAATTTTCAAGAAAAGCTTTGGTCACAGTCCTATATTAAGAAAAGCTGATCAATTGTACAAGTAATTGCACATTTCAATGGCAGAAGCCTAAAAAATAGGCAATTCAGATGGCTCTGCTGCATTTTTGGTCTACACAGAACAACTTCCATGGATGAAAAGAATCATTTACACCAAGCATCTAAATGCTAATGTTACCGCAAACAGTCGAATTTCACTGGAAAGAAAGCTAAACAAGTCCATCACATCCATCACAGTCAATTACAAGCTAAAAATAGATCAAAATTAAAAGTCATATTGATCACATTTTGTTTTGATGGTACTGAATCAACTACGGTACATGAAACGAGAAGATGAAAACATCAAATTTGCATTAAGTGACATTTTCAGCAGTTCATCGGACGAAAAGGCCAAACAAAATAACCAGAAAACACCAAGTTGTTATTGGACTTCAAGTCCATATAGGTTTTAGAGAACTTGTCTGTAAGGAAAGACCCTTGGTTTATTAATCCTCTTCCACCAGCTTCTGAAAAATCATCCAGCCAGATAACCTGAAGGAAGACGATAAAGCTTTTTAGTCACAGAATCTACAGCAAATCTAAAGAATCCAACTTGATTAAAATGAAATGAGCACATTGTGCAATATATTTTAATCATTCAAGACTTTCGGGTTAATGAATACTTGACCCTCAAAATAGAACTTTGACTCCATCATCAAAACTGTTACAACTTGGGAGTCATTTACACATTAATCTTTTTCATCATCGCATTCAAATAAGAACCCTTTCCCTCTTTAACATTTTTAACATATTCTATTAGATTCATCACTCTTGTACAATGAAAAGCTTTGTAACTATATATAAAACATGCTCTAATCATCCACGGTGTCTTTTCCTCCGTAAGAATATTGCCTCCATAATTATTCTATCTATTCATGTCCAGTCACACGTCAGTCTTAACTTCTTGAACCTTGCTGCATTCTTCAAATCATTTTGGCATTCCATAAAACTCAGTACTATAAACTATAACATGACTAATTTGCCATTTTACTTAACTATTTTTTCAAGTTACATTTCTCATGATTATTCAAAAACAAAAAACGAGAACAGTCACAGTTAAACTATCAATCAAAGATCAGGACAGTGAACACAATACACAAACGAAATCCATATCATAATCACTGTAAAATTGACTTACTAAGAAGGCAACTTTCCGGCAAGGAAAATTGCAAACTTTGACATGAGAGATTCTGAATACTCAATACCATTCTCCTTGAAGAAAGCCTCAATCATCCCCTTGACCCTCTCGGGCTCCACATTCTCGCACTCGACCTCATACAAATCCCCGAATTCATACTTAACCTCATCTACCTCCAATTTCACCCCATTCCACTCATACACACTTCTCACGGTCCTGAAGCCACCCAACCCCTTAAAACCGTTCACTCCAAATTCCTCTTTAACCCTCCTCAAAACCCTTGAATCGACGTCCATCAGCTTCCTCGGATCTTCCAAACAGGCATACCCAATAGACGGGTCCACCTCCTCCTCATCCTCCTCGACGCGGCTCACCCCGTTGGTAATCACGGCTTTGGCTTTTAGGCAAACAAAGCATTTGGGGATGTCAGTTTGCTCATGGAACCGGAGGCGCAACACAGCTCGGCGCGAGCTCAGCTGGGAACCCGTTCCATCGAAGAAAGTATTGTGCTGGCGGTGTGTAGTTATGTAAAATGGAGAGAGCAATTGAAGAAGCTTCTGGTGGGAAGCTTTGTTTGTTAAACGGAGCTTCACTTCAATCTCCATCAGTCTAAAAAACGAGCCCGTATTTGGTATGTATGCGACTTTTCTTTCAGTTTTATGAGGGTTCGGTTTTAATGGGGTTTTAAGAGGAGAGGCCGATGCGATGGGATTTGGAGGAGGGATCAAGAGACGAACGATCGAAATGGTGGAGGAGTGAAGATGCGGTTGTGGAAATGGTGCTAGCAGGGGTGGCACGCCGGCGGGCTTCTTTGAGGTCTTCTTTGTCTTCAACTCTGACTTCGATTTTGCTCGGCTTTCTGCTTAGCATCTTCCTATCTCCTTCCAAATAGACATTTAGGGGAGGAAATACAAGGAAACAACCTTTTCATTCTTACCCAATTTCAAAATCACCCTTGACTAAGAAATAGAATAAAGAAAAAGGTAAATATAACTTTAATTGAAAAAAGTCCAAAGTTCCCTAACTTTATCAAAATGAAGGATCTAGCTCAAAGATCTGGGCCAGTTGTCACTTGGGCCACAGTCAGCCCAGATCACTAAATTTATGGGCCGACTGTTAAGTCGGCCTATATATATATATATATACAGAAATGATCTAATGAGCACCGGTGCTCATCTTATCCTAAGCAATGAATATGTGCCAACTCGCAAAATCTTTATCCACCAATGAATATGTGCCAACTCATCGGTGCT